AATAATTTGGCAAGTATCCCTGTAATCAAATGAAAGCCTTGATCTCCGTTCATCACCTCACAAAAAAATTTGGATAAAATGTGGTTGCCAGAGGCCACTACCTCATCGCCTAAATGATTTGGGCTGTCACCAATCGTTGCTCCACCATCTTCATCTTCAAGTGATGTCCAGTGACTTCCTACAACCAGTTTATTCCATTTATTACATAAAAACATACTCCTTTCCTCGAGATAGATTGTTGTCGTTGTGCCCTAACCCCCATGGACAGAAAACTGAATCTCGAGGATCTCCTTTTGACTCAACACTGAAGGATATTATTGGGGGAAGCCCCATCCTCCTCGCAATCTCACCTATAGCAACAGAAATCCTCTCACAAACCACACACAATTAAAATATCAAGAAAGATTATAAACTTTCACAAACTACAATTAAAATTCAAATAAGGAAAGAGAAAAAATTTTTTATACTAATCATCATAGAAATGACAATATAGAGAAAAAGAATACCTAACAAACACAAATATTGATTTGAAAAGAAAAGTAAATAAAATGAAAAGGAATGGAAAGAGAATAACTTGAAAAGGCTAAGGAAAGCCCTAGGGTTTTTTTAAGACATTTTGAAGAGATATTTTTCGACTATCAATAATTATATGTATATAAAAAATATGATATTTTAAGTAATAAAATTTAATACTTTGTATTTTTCAAAGCAGAAAAAGAATTTAATACTCATATTTTGCCAAAAAGAATCTTTTGTGGTAAAAGAAAATGTATAAAAGAGAGAAAAAATACATATATATTCCGGTCAGGTCCTGGCCCTCCGGCAGCAAGTATAACCTGATTCCGTTTTCTCCGTCCTTGATCCGACCCAACTCTTACCTGTTGGATTACCGGACAACGCATCCACAAAAAAAATAAAATAAAATAAAATAAATTAAAAACAAAAAAATAAAAAATAAAATCAGGACAACCCTGCGCATTCACCGCTCCTCAACAAGAAGAAGAACTGTTTCCTCTTTCCTCTTTCCTCTTTCCTCTTTTCGCTGTCTACTTTTAACTCTCTGTCACTTCCAAACCCCACTAATCCAACCAATATCACTTTCTCATATAGATTCCTTCACCTCACGTTCTATCCCAGAAACTCTCCTCTCCTTCTTGGCACCAATCAATACGTTCCAGTTCAATTGAAAAACCCTAGCTTTCACTTTGTGTATATCAGCAATCCCCAGTTTGAGGTAAGATTTTCTAGCTGTAGACTACAGTTTTTGGTGTTTTCTTGATCTGGGTTGCTTTCAATTTTGGGGCTTTCGTTGGATGCAATACAATTATGTAAGTGGTAGGATTGCAGTTTTGTTTGTAGAAAAGATTGGTTGTTTTTGGTTGAAATCGGTGTTTTTGTAATCCATGATGACAACCAAAAGAAAGAAATGGACTGAGGCTGAAGAGAAAACCCTAATTGACAAGTATGGTGAGATGATAGCTGATGGGTCTCTCGCCAAAATGAAAACCCGCGAGAAAAAGTATTGGCCCATTGCTCGTCATGTGAATTCTGTGCACTATGATCGGGATCGTATTGCATACCCTTGGCAATGGACCTGGAAAGATGTGTCCACTAAGGTGCAGAACATGAGGCACCAGTACTCTCTTGTTAAGCAGAAGATTAAGAAATCTGATCTGTCTGTTGAGAATTCAGGTGAGGTAGATGAGTTTGATTGGATGGAGGGTATTACGCATTGGTCAAATTTTTTGAGGTATAAGGAGGTCTTCGGGGATGTGGCCGTTTCATATAGTAATAGTAATAGTAACAATAGTAATAATGGGAGTGATTTGATGCTGGTGTCAAATGAGGATAGGGAAAATGGAGGTGGATTTATTGGAGGAGCTAGGGGGATGGAGATTGTGGAATTTGGACAAATAGGTCACTCCGGAGATGGGGATTTTGCAGGCATTGATGGGGGAGAAAATGGGGTTCTGAGTTTGGGGTTTGAGTATGAAGGTGAAGAAGGGGAGGAAAACTATAATGGCCATCATCGTGTGAGGGAGGAGGCAGATGATGGTTTTGCATATGAAGAACCAGAGCCAAACGGGCATAATTTGAAGAAGAAAAGGAAAGTGTTGAAGGGGTTGGATAAGAGGGCATTTAGGTTTCTTGTGAACCAGTTGGGGCAGTTAAGAGAATTGGGAGCTCGGTTTGATCAACACGAGGTTGAGAGACAGTGTGAGAGGCAGAGAAGGGACAATCTGCAGATTGAGCTTGAGAAAGAATGGGAAAGAAAGTTGGAAGAGAGAGAAAAGGAGAGGGCAGAAAAAGAAAATGCTAGAGAGAAACTTCGTAGGCAGATAATTCAAGAGTGGGAGGCTGCGGAGAAGGAAAGTGAGGAGAGGGAAAGAAGAAGAAGAGAGGAGGAGCTGATTCAAGAGAGAGAATGGGAGGAGAGGATGAATAGGAGAAGGTCAGATTGGAAGAAGAGGATTGATGAAATGTTGAGTCAGCACCGTGCAGAGATGGATCAGATGCAAACTCGCATTCTTCATGAGCAGCAAAACCTTACCAGTCAATTGCTGGGTGTTTTTTCTCAGTGGACTGGTCATCCAACAGGGCTTTCAGACCATACTGGTGCCAGCAACCATTATCTTTCTCAGATGATGCAGAATTTGCACCATGTGAATGGCATGGTTCATGGGGATGCAAGGGTTGATGGAGATAATCAAGATGACCAATTTATTGTGGATGGATGATTATCATGTCTGCAGCATCATAATCTGCTACAACAGACAGCAAATTGTGCATGAATGTTGTAGAGATGGAGTGCAAAGTTCAGGAATTGTCAATTCCATTTTACTTTGTACTCTGAATTAAATTGCTGCCATACCAATTTATTTAGTTTGAAACAATAGCCAATAAGGGCTGTAAATTTCTATCTTTTCCTCTCTCTTCTTTCTTTATTGTACCAGTATTTGTCATATATAAATTAAATCATATTGGAAATTCAGATTTTTCGGTCTTGACTTCTTACTGCTTATGCTATTTTATTATATTTTTATTATTCCTTTTGTCCCCTGTTTTATCCTACGAAAAAAATTTCAAGGAAAAAATAAAATAAAATAAAATGGAATGGTGCATGAAGGACATTATTGTCATAGAGAACCTTTCGGATTTATAGAAGTTTATAATTTGCTGGATGTAGTTTGTTTGTTTGAGGCTGTTTACACTTTTAACAGACGATTGGCTATTAAATCCATCCAGGCACTGCTTGTTTTGTGATAATATATGAGACCTTTATAGCAAAGCAATTACCAAAACCAAATAGAATGAACTAATCTCACCAAATGAAACATAAAACTGCATTGTCATTGCTAATGAGTAATGATAGGGTATGGTACAAACTGTTTGAAGTAATACATGACCCTCTGGCTGCTAATCTGGACAAAGATAAAACAACAAACAAGTCACTTGCCCTCTTCAGCCATTTTTCTTCGTATCTCATGAGCTGTATTAAAGATTCCGAGAGTTGGTTTATTGCATACAAAACACTTCTTGTTTTTCGCATGATGCTGCAAAACAAAGGAACAACTGTTGTTAGTTTACTTAGAAAAAATTAAGATGATAAATAAGAGGCACAGAAACAACATAAGAGTTTATAATGTCCACACATTTATGCTATGCAATAAAAATATTCCCATAAAGGAAAGTGATCCTTGTGTCCAAGTTCTCAGAAAAGTCTCATCATCATCCTGATCATTTAACAATATGACCTCACAATAACCAGTGTGCATGCAAACTATCATATTCATCCAAGATCAAGCTAGTGCCACTAATAGTTAATTGTATTTTAGCATGGCTGTTGGCATATCATTAATATCTCTTCTAACATGAGACTAAAAAGACCCTAGGAAAGTTAACGCATGGAACAAACAAACAACTACCATACATACTACTTGCTACACAGTGGATGAGCAGGAGAAAAATGTCCTCCATGACTTTGACCACATAAAATGACCTTTCCTTTCCATTGGGGTAAACAAAATTGATTCTAATATGAAAATTAATCCATGGACATCAAATGTAAATAAAGGCAATAAATACTTATTACGAAACTTTAAATAATATGAGGGATTATGATAGCAACCTTCAATGCACAGTGCTCACAGAAGTAATGCTTGCACTTTGTAACAACAGGATCCACAAAAGGTTGCCTACATATAAAGCATGCAAAGGGCAAGGAGTCATCATCATCATCATCATCACTTTGGTCTACCACTGCTTCATCCTCATCGTCACCACCCATAGCCAAATTCCTCTTCCTTGCTTTCTCTACTTCCTCCCACTCTTTCTCTAACTGCCACCCAGACTTGTAATCACCTCGATCATGCATAAACTTACACGCATCCCCATACCCACAGTAACCAGTTTCTTTGTAGTCTTTACAAATATCTGGCTGATAATCAAATCTTGCTGATACCCTAATGTGAGCAGATGCCCTAAGAGGCCCATGTGATCCGCCAGCTTTCTCACTAGAAACTGTTTGCTCCCTTCGAAACCCAGCTTTATGATCAACATACCCATGGATTCCCTTATATAACTTCTCATCACCAGAGCCTGTGCTTTTCCCCTTCAAAGCCTCCTCAGCTCGCTTAAGAACTCTCTCACGAATAGCTCGAGCATCTTTGTTGAAATCAGTCTCAGTTTCTAATGTAGCAGTTGCTTTGCTATCATGTTGAACCTGTATTTCCTTTGAAGACTCATACTGGAAGATTGGTTTGTTAGATTCTGGGCCTGGTTCAGTTGTCAAGCTACTCTTAGATGATCCAGTTGAAAAGAACAACTTATTGTCAGGCCTTGTGGCCTTTTTCTGATGGTGCAACAAGGATGGTGCACTTCCTGAATCTTCATCTTCATCCTCTTCTACTGCCCTTTTTCTAATATTTTTATTCTTTGTTGGCTTCCTAAAGAAATTGCAGACTGAAAAAACAACAATAGTATGAGATATATTACAAAATAACAAGAAACAATAAAAAAACAAAGTAACAAAAATAACACACCCAATTATGTTACACCCAAAGAATCGTTTTTACCTTGCTCAGATTGTTGATGTTCTTGCTCAGAGTTTTGAGGATTGCCAGAATCAGCCATGCTTACAATAAGACCAAAGACAGGTTACTGTATTTTGCTCACAAATGTTACTTGCTATCACCTGAAAGTAGGTTTTCAAACACTGTCAGTCTAAAGTTCAATGTCCAAATATACAGGTAAATAAAGAAACGACAATCAAGATCTTCTTCTAGGAATATCATCGAACAGCTTCTGTGCGAATTAAATAAGACATGGCTTCTACACTTTTTTAGCACGCAGTTTGTTTCTAAACCTCATGATTCCACTATCTTCGGATCTATCTACCAAAGAATATCTGAAAACCAGACAAAAAGAAACTATTTTGCCAAGATAAACGGGTTCAATCTGTAACCCTTCATTACCTGAACTTACTTTGCCACCAAAATCTTAAGCTCTTGGAAGCAATATCAACGTCGTTAGCCAAGAAGATTCTTTGGAAGCAAAAATATTACGTTCTGTTCTGGAAACAAACTTTGATCTGTTCAGGTTCGATGCTGGCGAGGATGTGGCAGTGCACTTCCAATAAGGGAGCTGCGGCTACGTGGCGGCGGATCAGAGGATGGCGTTTCCGAAGAGAGGAATTAGCGGGCGGCGCCGGTGAGGGAGGATTGGCTACGACGTTAGCGAGGGGGATTGTGAGTTTGCAAGCGGCGGGTGAAGGAAAATCGGAGTTGTGGGAAGACGGTAGTTTATAAAAAATACAATACAAATAAGAAAAAAAAAAAATTTTTTAAAAAGGAGGTCAACCCGTGAAACCGAGTTTTGACCCGAATCCGTTAGTGTCCAATTAAGATCAATGAGCTTCAATTGAGGGCTTAGGTCCTTCTAGGCTAAGCCTAGAACTTTCTGGCCCAGATATAAAAAAGTGATCCAAACAAGAACAAATGGGCCTAATTCTGGTCCATGACTCCATGGATTGGATGGAAATTTAACCCCATAAAATTAATAGAAGTGAGTTATTTTTTTGAGGTACAATTAGAGTTATTGAGCCATGTTAATAAGAAAAATGTATATATCAAGTTGCTATAAATTTTCATGAGAAGATTTATTTGTTTTATTGTTTCGACTATGTAATAATTTATGACTGTTTAAAGTTTAAATTTGATATTTCAAATTGTTAATGGGTAAATCATCTTGGATGAATATCAATTTTGTACTCTAACCATTTTCTTTGAATAAAATAAAGGTTAAACTCTCTTTTTGGTCCCTCAACTATTGTACAGAATCTCGATTGAGTCCCTCAACTCAAAAAATTCTTGATTTGGTCCCTACTGTTTACTATTTTAACCCTGATTTGGTCCCCACCGTTAAAAATGTATGACGTGTCCTATTAATTCACGATGACACTATGACATGTCAAAATACATGGAAGACAACACGGAAAACAAATAGTGATATGGAAAAAAATAATCATATGGTAAAAAATATTAATATGACAAAAAAAAAAAAACTTAAAAAACTCCTTTTTTTTCCCTTTCCCTTTCTCCTTCCCATTCTCTTTCCATTGGGCTCATGGGTTCCCGAGTTCCTTAGAACCCAGGCACTAGGGTTCCTTTGAACCTGACACTGGGTTCAAAGGAGCCCAACACCTGGGTTCCTTTGAACTTGGCACTAGGTTCTGAAGGAACCCACGCTTGGGTTCATAGAACCCAGTGCTGGGTTCCTCAGAACCCAAGCGTCGGGTTTGAAGGAACCCAAGCCTGGGTTCTTATGAACCCGGCGTTGGGTTCCTTCGAACCAGATGCTAGGTTCGAAAGAACCTATGCCTGGGTTTTGAGGAACACTACGAACACGGTGCTAGGTTCCTCAAAACCCAGGCATCGGATTTGAAGGAACCCAGGCTTGGGTTCTTACGAACCTAACGTTGGGTTCCTTGGAACCCATCCCTGGGTTCTTTCAAACCCACGGGCAAAAACTAAAAAAAATTTCTATTTTTTTTTTTTTTGTTTGGGTTTGTTTGTTTGATGATAAGAAGAATTGATTGACGGAGAAGGTAAGGCAAGGAAGAGGAAGGAGAAAGGGTGCCTGTTGGTTCGATTGAACCCAATCGAACCCAGGTGTTGGGTTCTTCAGCAAAAAATTAAAAAAAATATATTTGTGTTTTTGTGGATTTGTTGTTTGATGAAGAATTGATTGATGAAGATGAAGATAAAGATGAAGAATTGATCGATGAAGAAGGCAAGGAAAGGAACAGGAATGAGAAAGAGAAAGTGGAGGAAAAAGGAGAAATTTTTAAATTTTTATTGCCAAATCATTATTTTTTTGCCATGCTGTCTTTCCACGTAGGTTTAATATTTTGACAAATCATTATAGTTCCATTAGTTAACAGTATACGTCATGCGATTTTTAACGGAGGAACCAAGTCAGGGTTAAAATGATAAACAGTAAGGATCAAATCATATATTTTTTGAGTTGAGGGATTCAATCGGGGATCCATATAATAATTAAGGGACCAAAAATGGGGTTTAACTAAAATAAAAAACAATTGTAAATCTTCCTTCTTCGTGTGAGTTTTAGAAAAAGTAG